CTCATGTATAGGTAATAAACAAGGTATGGAAGCCTGAGAGAATGGATGGAGCCGGTGACAAGGTTTTGGATGGGTTAACAGAGAAGATCTGGCTGTCGGTTATATTTTGTTTCAGTACATTGGTACTTCAAAGAGTTGTTAAATGTTTTAAAAATCCTGATCAGGTGTAAGAGTTTTAAAGGTGTTTTCTTTTGGATGTCTTTCGTTTTGGGTGTAAGTTTTGATTATATTTTAAAAGAAATAGAGTCTCAGCTTGAGGCTTTGTATCTTTATTTCCGCTTGGTTTATCGAGTCCCTTTTATGTTGAGTGTCGTAATGGCCGTTTTGGGGACGATCGTTACAGTTAACACCCCCCTCAAGTTGGAGCATGAGGTTCAAAAATGCCCAACTTGCCAAGTAAATGGAGAACTGACGTTTGCCCAATGCCTTGGTGAAAATATCAGCAATCTGATCCGTGGTAGAAACATGACGAGTAAGGAGTAGCCCACTCTGAACAGCGTCCCGAACATAATGACAGTCAACTTCAATATGCTTCGTGCGCTCATGAAAGACCGTATTTTGTGCTATATGCAAAGCGGAGCGGTTGTCACAGAAGAGTGACATGGAATCCGTATGATCAACACCCAAAGCCAAGAGCAGACCTTTAGCCCATGTGAGTTCTGCCGTAGTGGCGGCCATAGAACGGTATTCAGCCTCAGTGGAAGACCGGGAGACAGTATGCTGTTTCTTAGTTTTCCAAGAAATAGGAGACTGACCCAGAAAAATAATCCAACCAGTAAGAGACCGACGAGTGAGCGGACAACTGGCCCAATCGGAATCACACCATCCTGTAAGAGTGAGATCACAGGTGGAACTCAGAAGTATGCCGTGGCCCGGAGTGCCTTTGAGGTAGCGGACAACACGCAAAGCTGCGGCCCAGTGATCTTGGCGTGGAGCCTGCATAAACTGAGACAAAATGTGAACAGAATAAGCTAGGTCCGGTCGAGTAAAGGACAGATAGATCAAGCGACCAATAAGACGTCTGTACGACTCGGGATCAGTCAACAGGTCGCTCTGAGAGAGAACTAAAGTGTGATTTTGCTCCATAGGAAAGCCGGCAGGCTTGGCACCAAGAAGACCCGATTCAGAGATAATATCCAGAGTGTATTTTCTTTGACAGAGAAAAATACCATCAGCGCTACGTGCCACCTCGATCCCGAGAAAATATTTAAGAAGTCCAAGATCCTTCATGTGAAAACATTTATTCAAATAAGATTTAAAATGAGAGATAGCAGATGAATTATTGCCAGCAACAATTAAGTCATCGACATAAATAAGAACAAATAGCTGATCCGCGCCCTTGTGCAGAGTAAAGAGCGAGTAATCTGAATAGGTCTGAAGAAAACCATAATGTTTCAGAGAAGCTGCCAGTTTAGCAAACCAGCATCGAGGAGCTTGACGCAAGCCATACAATGATTTTGTCAGACGACAAACTTGATCAGACCGAGAAAAATGAAATCCAGGAGGGGGCTTCATATATACCTCCTCATCTAAATCTCCATGAAGAAAGGCATTATGCACATCCATCTGATGCAACTCCCAGTTTTTAGCAGCAGCAACCGCTAAAAACATACGAACAGTAACCATTTTGGCTACTGGAGCAAAGGTCTCAGTATAATCTATCCCTTCTCGTTGATGGTTGCCAAAAACAACCAGACGAGCCTTAAGACGTTCAATAGTTCCATCAGAATGGTATTTTATTTTATAGACCCATTTGCAGCCAAGAGCCTTTTTACCTGGCGGAAGTGTTTCCACAACCCAAGTGTGATTATTCTCAAGAGCCTGAATCTCATGCTGCATAGCTGCACGCCAACCGGGATCGGCCATAGCTTCTCGGAAAGATGTTGCTTCATGTCCTGCAAGTATAGCTCCAACAAACCGCCGATGACTACCGGAAAATTTGTCACAATTAAGAAAACTAGCTATAGGATATGGCGTACCTGAGGAACCAGTAGAGGAGATAGGCGACGGGGATGGGCTCAATGAATGAACATGATGTGTGACATAATCATGGAGTAGAACAGATGGGCGCTTGGATCGTTGACCTCGTCCAAGAATAATAGTTTCAGAGTTAGAGGCCGTGGTTTCTCCAGTCATAGGGATACCCGTGGGAATATCACCAGAGGCCCCTACCACCGGGTCGTCATCAAGAATGAGAGGCAAAGAGGTGGACGCATCAACAGAAGATGTACAAGATTTTGCCGGGGCCGAAGATAATGTCATGAAGAAAAGGAATTCATGCTCATGAAAAACAACATCCCGAGAAACAAATATCTCCCCTGTGGCCCAGTCAAACACCTTCCACCCTTTTTGTCCATGAGGATAACCCACAAAAACACCTCTACGACTACGTGGAGAAAATTTATCTTTCCGAGAGTAAACATTGTGAGCAAAGCACAGGCAACCAAAAACCCGTAAATGAGAAAAATTCGGTGCAACTCCATTTAGAACCTCATACAGTGTCTTACCCCCCAGAATGCCAGATGGGGTGCGATTAATAAGATGTACCGTAGTGAGTACACACTCCCCCCATAAGCTAATAGGAACATTAGCTTGAAACATTAAAGCTCGTGCAACATTTAAAATATGACGATGTTTTCGTTCCACCCTCCCGTTCTGTTGGGGGGTGTACACACACGAAGTTTGAAACAAGATTCCATTAGCATCAAAATAAGACCGCATGCATGCAAATTCAGTCCCATTATCACTTCGTACCGTTCGAACAGACACCGCATATTGGTTTTTAATCATAGCTACAAATGCAAGAAAATATTGGTGACCTTCTTTTTATCACGCAGCAAATATACCCAGACAGGACGAGAAAAATCATCCACCAAAGTGAGAAAATAAATAGCATCACACATTCACACGTAGAGGGAGTTTTATACGGTCTCCACAAATCACAATGAATCAGTTCAAAAATTCTACTAGACTTATGACTACTAGCAGGAAAAGAATCACGAGCCTGTTTTGCCTGAGGACACACCTCACAAGTTTTATTTAATTTTTTTTTGAGAAGAATTAGAAATAACAACAGGCAGTAATTGAAGAACCCGATCAGAAGGATGTCCCAAACGCCTATGCCACAGCTCAAAATCGGACAGAGATGATGTGTGAACCGCATGCAGAGCCAGAACCCCTCTGAAATAAAAGAGCCCATCCCGTTGTTCACCTGCTCCAATCAGGTTCCTCGAGGGTAGGTCCTGTATAGCACAAAAATTATGAGTAAAAGTGACAAGACATGCATTCTGAGCAGTCAATTGTGAGACAGAAATAAGGTGACAATTAAGTCCAGGCACATAGAGAACATGTTTCAGTACAAGCTTCTCAGATAGAAAAACACGGCCAGACAAAACTGCAGCCACCATGCGGCCATCTGGCAAACCAACCGGGCACGTAGGAATTTTGATAGGGTCAACAAGACAAGTAATATCTCCCGTGACATGGTGTGAGGCCCCAGTATCAATAATCCAATGAAGGGAAGAAAACTTACCCGACATTCGGTCAGAAGAACGAGTATCAGCATTTATTAAATTCAAGAGAGCTTGCACCTGTTCACCGGTTAAATTAGCCAAAGCATTAAGCCCTGAATTCTGTGAAGAACTGCCTTCACCTGCTGGCACTGGGTTCGGTGTCACTGCATGTGTCCGAACCCCCCCTCCACGGCCAGAAGACGAACTCTTGCCACGATTGCGTTCCTCCCACCAGTCGGTATAACCATGTAGTTTAAAGCAAGACTCCACCTCATGGCCTTTCTGTTTACAGTAAGTGCAAATAGGGCGCGGACGATCGGACCTGTCCACACCATTCTTCTCTGTGCGTGCCTTATCTGCCCTCGGACGATCAGCCTGAAGCGCGAACGCCTGTGCGTCCGCGGCTGCAATAGTCCGACCCCGAGCAACTGCCCTGGAGTTTTCTTCCTGCAAGAAGGCTTGATGTGCTCGTTCCAGGTCCGGCAGGGGGTTTTGTGAGAGCAGATTTGACCGAACTGTTCCGTAGATTTCATCATCGATCCCAACCAGGAATTGATGAAATTTTTCATCCTCTCGTTCTGCAGCGATCTTCCCGACGACATTACAAGTGCAAAGGCCGCATGAACACACCGACAGAGGTTTCAAACGATGAAGCTCATTATAAAGACTCATGAGAGTTGTGTAATAGGTGTCAACCGACATGTTCTTGGCCTGTTTACACGCAGTAATCAAGGATTTAAGTTGCTGCAGACGTGGTCCATTCGCCACACTAAATCTTTTCTCCAGATACACCCATAGGGTTCGTGCAACATCATGGAAGGGAAGAGAAGCCACTACCGTCGGTTCCATAGCTCGAAGAAGCCACGAAACCACCATAGAATTGACAGTGACCCAATGTGATTGCATATTTGCTTCCGTCGGTTTTGTGATTGTTCCATCCACAAATCCGTTCTTCCTTCTTGCCGTTAGTGAGAGCAATATAGCACGTGACCAAGCCACATAATTATCCCCTTTGAGAATTACGTGGGTAATGAGATTTCCCGGTTGATCACCGGAGCCGAGGTAATATGGTAAAGAAGGATCCACCATTTTCGTCGAGAAGAGCACGCTGGTGCTGATCTTCGAATGACAGAAAAAAAACGAGCTCCTATACCCGTTTAGGGCTCTGATACCATGCTAGAAGGCATGCGACTGGTATCGAGAAACAATTGGAAAAAGGAGTGGTTCTATTCATTGCTATATCTCGGTATTTATACAGCTAATTACATGCTAAAATGAGCCCTTAGCCCAGTTAATAATAATATACAAATAAATACAAACAATGGGCTAAGCCCGTGTGTTAACACTTCTACTATCAACACTTCTATTCCAATTACTTTTGGGTAAGTCTTGTTGAATACAAGTATAAAATACGATAGTACGTAGTTGTTTTCAATATTTTTTGACATGACAGATGTGCCTTTCTTTTCGTTTGTTTTAACATGACAGATGTGCAACTCATCGGCAGAGCGCGGAAAGCCATACTGCAATACTTGATGGAGTATTGGGATTGGGCAACAACCAAATGTCCGCCGTTAACCAGTTGGCAGCAAAAGGAGTAATACCCTCCGTATTCTCTCACTGCTTCAAGAGAACTGGCGGCGGTTCATTTGTTCATGGACAGGTTGTGCAGCCCAATATTATGTACACTCCAATGGTGCCCGGGTATGTTTTCATCACATACAAAAGAAATTAAGTGAAATTATTAATTTGCACCCACTCATGCACTGATGATGCACGCACTCACCACACCAATCCCAAAATTAATTAAGAAGGCTTTTTGCAAGCTATTTACTCCTTGCGTATCAGTTTATCTGTGATCTGTCTTATTATCTTTTCCACGTAGTTAAAAGTAATTAGTATACACCGTATACAAAGTAGGATGCATATATAATGCATATGTTTTTTATGCGCACACATAAACACAAGCACATTACTGACATTAGAAATCATGATTCTTAAATTAGATAGAAATGTATGTATGTATTTTCTCAAAAATCTGCTATATAACTAACGCGCTTCAAATTGTCAGTGCGAATTACCGTGTGGAGCTCCAGAGTATCTATATTAATGAGCAACCAGTACCCATTGATCCCCAATTATTTGGTGCAAACAATGGAGGAACTCTAATAGACTCTGGAACCACTATGGGTTACATTGTGATGGAGGCATATGATCCCTTTGTTAATGCTGTAAGTTCATAATTACTGTACATTATTAATGTATGTTATGAATGAAAAGTATATTGACTATTGTTCTTAGCTTGTCACATTATTAATGTTATGAATGAAGAGTATATTGACAAAAGACTACTATTCTTGTCACATAGATCAACCAAATTGTGTCAAATAATGTGTATATCTATAATGGCGAGGGTAGGCAATGCTATGCCTCCTCATCTAGGTACTCCTCTACGAGTTCTCATTTACATCTATTTATTTAGTTATGTTAGTCATTTAATTTAATTAATTTTTTATGTTTATATTTTTTGTCAATCTCACGTTGTATTTTTGGATGTAGTGTTTTTACCATTTTTCCATCCATCCGTTTAAATTTTGCGGGGGGTGCATCAATGATTCTCCAGCCTATAGACTACCTTGTACATCAAGATTCGGTGGTAAGCTGCCGGCTTTTTTATCATTTTCTATCTGAAATAATATATCCTAAACTTTAGATTGAGGTGTGATCTTATATATAGGGTGGATTATAATGGTGGAAAAGTTTTTTAGTTTCCTGGGTATATGTATTTTGGTTATGGGTGTTGGTTTTAATGAAGTGCGTAATTGTATATGCTGCTCTAATAATAGGATGGAACGAGTCACTGGTGCTTGGGATTTTTTAAATCTGAAAAAATGTCCGTCTTAGGAGGTAAAGATCAAGTGTTATGTACCATATTTAATGCATTTTCATGCATTTTCGCCTTCAGAGTTCCATAATCCCTTCATGATAATGGTTTTTGTTTATTATGTTATATTTATTGATTCACTTATTCATTTAACTATGCATTGTAATTTGCAGATCTTCTTCTCAAAGATAAGATCGTTGTTTACGATTTAACTAACCAACGGATTGGATGGACCGATTACGACTGTAAGTCTATGTTTAGATAATTAGTGAGAAAATTTATTAAAACATAAAAAAGGAATGAAAAGATTTAAAGGCTAAAAAGATGTGGAATGACATTTCTTTATTGATTTAACAACAAATGTGTTTACTTAAAACCAGCCTCTATTGAACTTGTCTGAGCGGCTCTTATCAAGACTTTTTACTTATGTTTTAACATTTTCAAATTATCAACATAAATTAAACATTAAGACTAATTATTTGAATTCAAAAATAAAATAAGAAGCCTACTGACATTATATGTAAAGAAAAAAATTGGATCCTAATTTTTTCTTATATACTTTTGGGCCTAGGGTGGTCGCCCCTGCTGCCCTCCCTTAGGGCCGGCCCTGATAATTATAAAATTATAGTTGTGATTACGAGGGAATGCCTTTATTTGTGACAACATATTTTATGTATAAGAGATGTATTTGTTTATTTAGACACTACTGCACTTTTAGAATAGCATGAATGCCCTCCCTTACTCTTAAGTCCGTTAAAATTTTGTGTTATGATTTCATGTAGCATTATATTGTTAATTTTTTATACTGAAGGTATGCTTTGGTTGTCATTTTTTGTATAAAAAATATAGTCCCAAGTACAAATAAAAACGTGTGACAAGTCATTCTAAAATACGATCATTTTGATTTTATTCCATAAATATGAGTAATATATGAAGTAATTACATAAAATTTGGAAAATATTGACACTTACGACAATATACTTTCACGTTTTAGGGAATACAAAAATAATGTTCGCTTCTACGGAATTTTATAAATAAGACTAAATTACTAAAACATAACTATGCACATTGTCTATATTTTAATAGCAATATCTTATACTTCCTCCGTTCTTTTTTAGTTGCAACGGTCAACATTTCACACTTGTCAACGCACATCTTTGACCGTAATTATATCTTAATCCCTATTAGTAAAAAATATTTTAAAATTAGATTTTGAAATTTTTTAATGAGATGAATTGAACAATATAATTTAAAAAAAATAATTTTCATAAAATAATAATATAAAATGTAGTCAAAGTAGAACATGTGAATAGTGTAAAATTCAACATGTTGCGATTAAAAAGAAACGGAGGATAGTATATCACCTATGCTTCATACGTAGTTCTCAACCCATCGATGATCAATAAGGAAGCCCAGCAGCACTAAGAGGCACCACCCTTCACGACATTTCCACTGGACCATAATACTGTTATTCTCTGTACTATCAATTTTATTCTTATTGCTTTTACTACTAGCAGTACTAGCTTGCTTAAATTATGTACAACAACACATGTTGGAGTAAATATCACCGTATCAATTTTTCCACTGTTAGCATGATTACTAAATAATTGTTATTTCAATTTGTAACGTATTTACTACTCATAGGATTTAGCAGTGGGTTATTCTTTGGGAAAACTACGTAATTGGTTATCACTTGAGTATTCTGTGGGTAGATTCGTTGTCAACAACATTTCCATTCACACTTACATTAAAACAAAAAACAAAAAAAAAATCTAATAGCAACACTAAAAAAAACAAAATCTAATAGCAAATAAATAACGCTGCACAATCACAATCACCATCCATTGAGGCCAATGTGGGCACCTCCATTTAAACTTAACATGTGTTGTCTCTATCCTTCCAAAATCAACGTGTTGACCGTGTTGCTTCTAAATTGACCTCGTTGACTATCTAGCTCCGAGAATTGACCTGCAAAATAATCTCTAAAAAGAATTAAAAGTATATTAGTGGCTTGAGACGCGACAGACGCTTTTCTAAGGAATTATTTCCGGCATACGGAAATTTCCCCCAAGATATAATAACGAGCCCTTCGGTTATAAAACCGGTACCAGAACGAACGAGAAGCAAATAGTATATGAACCCAGCAATAATAAAAGTGTGTTTATCAATTGGTTATATACCCACACGGATCACACTCTATATATTTCTATATATATACAAAAGGAGTAATTGGGGTGAGGTTTTTCAATTTGGTGTCCGTAGACTTGAACCAGACCTAGACGCCTAAGTCTTTAAATACCGAGTTTATTGGTGAAACGTATAGTTTCTATGAACCAATAATCTACTTTGGTAAGTCAGTGTCTTAGGGGATCATTTTTTACCCTCACCTTTCTCGTCGTTAGCGCCGTTGTGCGCCTCTAGGCCGTGCGCGTGCTTGGTTTTTTTGAGTGCTCTAGAAGCGTTGTCAATGTTTCATGGAGGCTGCCCCACCTCTCACTCATATAGGTGACCTCATCGCCTCCTTCCTCCAGATATTCCAACCGCCAAGCCCTCAAATTTCCGCCTATTCTTCACTGCTTTGCACTAACACACCTACACAAGCATCAAACCCCAAATATAGGCATTCCTTGAAGCTATTGTGAGTATTAAACTGTATTTGTTCTTAGCTTTATTATTACATTAAAGATGTTTTGGGTTCGATTAGTTCTTTCTTTCTATAATTTGGGGGAGGGCCTGCGACATTGAAATGTTGACTATAGCAAAGATGATAATATATTGTCTCAGTACTGTTATTCAAGCATCTTTTTTCCTGAATATTTCATATAAACAAAGCCTTTCAATTCCTACCATTTCAAAAAAAAAATAAAAAAATTGCAATTAAGTACCTTAAATTGTACATACGGACATACGGTGTTCGCTGAAATGATCATATGAGAAACAGTACTAATTCTTTTCCTCTTCAAACACTACTATATTCCTTATTTGAGGATAAGGATCAGGAGTTTACAGATTTTTTGTTACTACGGGATTCAATTTCCATGAAGTAAAACTCCAATCACCAAAAGACATTTACAAAGACATGCAATTGTTCTTGCTATGTAGAAAAACAACCCAAACATGAACTGAAAAGATTAAACCAATTGAGACCAATTTAACTAAAAGAGCTCATACTTCTATATTTCAAGAATAAATTTTATTATTTATATATTCACCTATAAACATTGTTAGGGGTATTCATTGAATCACTCAAATTTTAGTTCATCCAATAATAGACTGAAAAGTTTTTTAATTTTATAGATTGATTTGCTTTGCCAACGGATTGCTTTGCGGTAAGAGACCTGAAAAGATTTAAAATTTATTCACCCCCTCCTCTAGACTTTTATCTCACTTGGAACTCAGTTGGTATCTGGGGCACTCATCACTTAAAAACAAATCAAGACTTAACAAATAATGTGTTCACCGCTTTTCGGAATATCACTTTGATGAGACAACTGATTTTCCTGTCATTAGGGGGGATTAGAGAAACAATTCTCTAATTAAATGACAGAATTTTTATAATTGTACATCACTACTTTGTCTCAATGATAAATCTTAGACTTCAAAATGTAACATTGAAGTTAAAGTAAATGATTTAAGTAATCAGATTATACACACTAGCTATAAACATATTTATAAGGCTTGAATTAAAATTAAAAGACACAATTCTAAAGGAAGAAGCATTGCAATCACAAGTGGTGGGGTTATGGTTGAGGTCGTGGCTCTCTAAAGGAATAGAGGAAGCCACATTGTTCGATTAATTATCCACCCAAAGTATTAAAGGATAGATAAGGCGCAAACCAATATATTTGTCATCATATGAATTCCTCTCACAAGATTATCTCTGACTAAATATGTTCATGAATCAATAATGGGGGACGCCCCGAAGTTTAAATGATTCCAGAGAATTAAAATCTCAATGTTAATGAGAGTGTGTCTGAGTCGAGTGATAGACCTTACACTTATATTAACGATGTATTTATACGATTGCTCAAAGGAGTATAGAGCATGATGATATCGAACCATACTCTATTGCAATATGAGCAATGAGAATATTGGCCTAAATGCGTAAAAGTAATCAAGGTAAAAATTTAATATTTGACAAAGAGACAAGTATTTGGTATGATAGTGCTAATCAACCAAGCGTAAAGCCTCTGAGACATAAAATAATTCTTTATTAGAAAGCGTATTGAGATAATGAGGTCCTAATCATTCTCACATCGCCCTGGATTCAAATATGACAAGTTATACTTCTTTATTCTGAACACAAAAATGTTCAACTACTTAATCTCTAAGTACCCTCCAAAGTAATGGAAAGGCAGCTAAAGATTGTGGCTATTAAATGTCCCAGTAAAATTTCATTTAAGGGATAGTAGACAACAACTTTTATGTGACTATTATTTAAATGTCTCAGCTAAAGATTGTGGCTATTACATTGTATGTTAACATTGAAACGTTCACATTTGGATTAAATCAATCCAGACAGGGTGACATACATGTTTAAGTGATCACTTGACTGAAAAAGGATGCATAATAAATATATTATGCCTAGCGCATTTATCATGGAAATAAGTTATGTTTCCAAATATCATTGTATCTCCATGATATAGACTTAATATGTATTCATAATGGAATGTGAGACATGTTAGATATTTGATTGAGATAAAGGATCTCGGAAAACTCGGGTCTATTTTGAAATTAAACACCGAGTTGGTAGAATATTAATTCACCAGTTGCATATATCCAAAAGAGTTCCCAGGAAAATTAACATGGATAAATGTAAACTGTTAGCACTCCCATGATTGGTCGAAATATGGATACTAGAAAAGATCCATTACTGAAAAGTTATTGGGAGAAGAAATTCCCTATGTAGGTGCAATATGCGCATGATTGTACTTTGACAAACACATTCGACCAAATATTACATTCTCAATAATGTGTTAGCTAAAAATAGCTCAGGGAAACACATCGTATATCATCATTGGAATGATATCAAGAATGTACTTTGATATTTATATGAAACCATTGGTGTAATCTTTATTCATCCCTTATAAATTAAATGAAATGATTGATGATAATTTCCTAAAGGAATTGGAAATGTCAAAAGTGTCATTCTAACACAAAGTAATGTGATTTGAGTTTTACCGATGTTGGATATCCCCTTACCTCACTGATATTTTCTTAAATGAGTATATATTTATCATGAAAAAAACCATGATGTTATGTACGGAATACCTTGATACAAGTATATATCAAGTAAGTGTTGGATTCTTATTGATGTGTTGCACTCAGGGGGAGTCCTTGCACACTTATTTATCATCAGTTATATTGGTGCGTTGTACCCTTTTTGTGTTTTGACCAAGGTTTATTTTTTCCATTGGGTTTTGTTGCTTGACAGAGGTTTTGACGAGACAACAAGACAGATACCAAATTCTATCTACAACTCAGCACAAGGGAGAGTGTTGAAGGAAAATCTATGTAGTGCGTTATCGTTTATATCGAATATGCATTAGTGTCGTTCTATGTAAACTATGTATTCTGGGCCTGTTGGCCCGCAGTTGTAAACCCTATTCTATCGCTATTAACAGGGGCGGAGCCAGGATACGACGAAGAGGGGGGCCGGGTAAAATAAAAAATAGTAAAAATTCAAATAAAAAATGAAATTAACATTGAATGATACATTGATATTCATCTAAAACATATGATAAAATGTTATGAAAATTTAAAATTTAGGTCACTCTTGCGTGTTACACAAATTGTCAATTAGAGAGCCCACACTAATTTTTTTACGATTTGCTTCTCAATAAAATATAAAAAATAAAACTTCAGAATTATTGAGTTAATCATAAATGTGTTTTAAGTGTTTTGGTAATTTGGTGTAATATGGCCAAGTCTATACTTTATATTCACTAATTTTTGAATTAATTATTCAAGCAGTAAAACATAACCCAATATTTTAACGATGTTAAGAAAACAACAATCACTGGATCACATATTCACATATCTAAAAGCAAATAAAAACAAGTGATGTAACTACATTAATGAATGTACTAATAAAACTACTTTCAATTTTAAACAATGAGTAATACGTGCTGATAGTATCCATGATGTCAAGGTTATTTCCAGACTCTATTAGATCGGCGGATTGATGCATCTATATTATTTAAATTAATATGCACTTCGATTTTTTTGACCTTTAAAGACAATACTACTACTCACTAAAAAAAGTGGGGGGCCTTGCCCCCTGGAGTGAAAGCATACCTCCGCCCCTGCCTATTAATAGGGGCGTTCGGTAATGAAACAACACACACAATTCTCCCTACAATATGAAAATGTTTGTTTTTAGTGCATATTCAGGATATCCCCTCTTCCCATTTGTTGAATACTATACGTAATATTTTTAAGAGGCTATTGAGATTTTCTTGCAAATCAAGAATGAATAAATAGAAAGCATGTATATTGAATCCTTTAATTCTAAATTCAATACACTTGCAACTTTTAGTTTTTAATACGTTGTTCTCGTTCATTGTTCGTCATGATGAGGTCAACCTTTTCAACTAATGGTGGACAAATACAACGCTTAATCATTGGATCACATGTGCAAACTACTGGATTGCATTCAGTGTTATTCTGGCATTTTGTGGCCACGTTCCTTGCTTCAGAGATCGGCAATGCACCTGCATTCAAACACACACAATTAAGTACGTGATAAAATATATATTACTTAGTAATATATTAGGACATTTAATATGAAAACTCTATGTTATCATTTTTATGAGATGATGACTATATACTAATGAAGTGTTTTTTTATACGAGCTCATTTCATACTCTTCTACTTGTCAACTATTATGAATATTTTCGAGTAATATATTGGCGGAACATTAATTTTGAACATTTTATGTAGTCATATCATTCTTTGTAGTCTCATTTGATGCTTATATTCATTAATAATTACAATATCAATTAGACACTACATTTCAATATATTTCATTCTTAATAATATACATTAAAATACAAAGAATATGATTTCAATGTTAAAACAAATGTCGTGGCTCTATTGGTCTTCTGCAATCACTACTTGTGTTTCTCAAAAGTTACATTTCTCATAACTTTCGATATAGTGATAGACATACGTAGTACATGGCAAACAAGTATATGCTGCATTTAATTGTCATACATTAAATCATTCACTAGCTGATTCAATTTTTTGGCAAAAGTTAGATTTACACATTTATGATTCACATGCGAATACATGAATAATTAAGCTTCACATTTGACACATGGGATGATTCATCACAAAATTCAATAGAAAGTATGTGACATGTATCAATGATATACGAGTTTATGTTGGAGTGGGCTAAAAATTATTCTACCAGGTAGGGGCGTAGCTAGAGGAGGGCCAACCCTGGCCCTGGCCCAACCCAATTTTTAAAAATGTCTATATTTTTAGTGTAAAAAATTACGTGTATTTTTTTTCAAAATCATTCTTTGTACCGGCGTAGTCTGACTTAGTGCCCCGGCTCCGCCCCTGATACTAGGATTAGAGCAATAGTGCGGTGGGTTAAATAAGAAAGACGAAAAAGGTTTACACTAAAAAAAATAAGAAAAAATACTTTGTCCTCAACTTAGCCACCATCATCCTAACATAGATTCATGTAACATATGGAGAAAAGTGGCGGGGCATAAAGTTTTACAAATCTTGTGGGATGAAAATACCAAACTATATAAAGGCAATCTTGAAATTTAAAAGTGAGCATGCTTTAACGAGACGATATAAAACATGGCGAAAAACATGCGGAATATAATACTATAAATAGGTCTGAAAAATCTCACACACAAATATATTGATATGTGAATATCTTTTTGTATAAGAAGAATTGACTTACAAAATTGGAGCATCATGAAAAGAACTAGAATAGACAATGAGATTTTGGATGCCATGTCTAGATTACTCTATCTCCCACAGTAGTTTTGCGTGAATATTTTGACATTACCGCGTCTTATTTATAACATAGCTTTTTTCCCGTACTAAGAACCTAACATAAATTTAGTGGCAAGAATTGATTTGGATTTCATAGCACTCAATGTCTTCCTAAATTTGGAATGGACAAATCTGGAAATTATTTAATCATTGCACAATACAATTAAAATTGAAATACTCCGTACATTAATTATGAGACTTGTAGCATGAAGCACTGAAAGCGCGCGTTAGAGTTGTTTATCCAAAAATGGACGCTTGTAGGCTTTTAGAAAAGTTACGATAGAACACTCAAGCAAGAATTACGAAAGTATTACGAGAATGGAAAGCTGCTAAGGACATTTATTTTCCAAAAATAGCATATCTCTAATTTGAATTACGACCTTTCTTTTATGGGCGTATAAAAATTGTAAATGCTATCAATAATAATGACTAATTAAATAGAACATCATTTGGCAAGTCGGCCTGGCTAGCAGGCATGATGCTTGAGCTCCCTCTTCGCATGGCTAGTAGGTAGGCTACTGGCCTGGCTGGGCTGGTAAGCAGGCTCTAGGCTTGGGTTTGGGCTTTTTTGGCTCAGGTCGTGCATGGGCTTGGACCCATGGATCCAAGTCTGGGGCTTGGGCCAATTAGGCTTTGGGCCTATTCAGATGCCCTTCTCCAAGACTGGTAGATCTCCCACCTTGCTTTATTCATGTCCGGGAGGTGCCTTATTAAAGAGAAAATTACCGGACTTATGACTAAAAGGACATGTCTTTTCGGATCTACGACTTCATGACGTTTTACTCCTCATGTATCACCCGCACATGCTCATGGCTATGCACGTGCTTTTTCTTATTCCCCAAATGCCCTTTTTCAATTAATGTATGAGCTAATATTAGTACGGGAAAAAAGCTATGTTATAAATAACATGTTCGGAGTTACTATGTGGCATTTCTTAGTTGGAGCTAGGGGTGGGATTTTGGAACCAGGAACCGTATAACCGATTGGAACCGAACCGTTAACAACATCTAGTAACCGAATCGTTAACAATTAATGCCTCATTTGTAGGAACCAAACCGAAGCGGGTTATAACGGTTCGGTTCCCGGTTCCTATAAAAAATATGTGCATGGAACCGTTAAGGAACCGTTATTAAAAAAAATAAAAAATAAAATAATATTAGTAGTAGTAACAATAATAATAATAATAATAATAATAATAATAACAATAACAATAATAATAATAATAATAATAATAATAATAATAATAATAATAATAATAATAATAATAATAATAATAATAATAATAATAATAATAATAATAATAATAATAATAATAATAATAATAATAATAATAATAATAATAATAATAATAATAATAATAATAATAATAATAATAATAATAATAATAATAATAATAATAATAATAATAATAATAATAATAATAATAATAATAATAATAATAATAATAATAATAATAATAATAATAATAATAATAATAATAATAATAATAATAATAATAATAATAATAATAATAATAATAATAATAATAATAATAATAATAATAATAATAATAATAATAATAATAATAATAATAATAATAATAATAATAATAATAATAATAATAATAATAATAATAATAATAATAATAATAATAATAATAATAATAATAATAATAATAATAATAGAAATAATAACCACCACTACAACAACATTAATAAAACAATATAAGATATTTAACTAACAATTCTAATTTAATCAACGGAAAAGAAGTAATAAATATTGTACATGACGTTGATATAATATATTAAACTCCTTTCTACAAATCAAGTTTTGTTTCATCACATAAATTTTATAAATATAAAATAACTCAAATAACTTGTAGTTGATTGCACATATTTTACTTTACTATTTTCATGATATTTCTAATTATTAGATTTATTATGAATCAATAGAATGTAATAATAATGTTTTTTTATATCTATACATGCAAACTCAATGTTTTTTATGTTTTGAACGACTTGAAGTAGGCGTCTTATTCTTGCTACTATGATGACGAGTAACCTTCATCGCTCCGACACTACAACGATTTTTAATGTTTCATTTATTACATGAAAATTTAAATCACTATTGTTCAATTAAGTGTTCAAAGTTCATTAGTTAAGTTTGAGCTTTGATGTTTGAAGTGATTAGAGCTTCAAATAAAATTTTAATACTCGTGTTTTGAATTTTCGACGTGTTTAAAATTGTGTTAATTCTTAGACGAGAAAAAATTATTCTAGGAACCGGTAAAAGGAAGAACCGAACCGTTTACTACCGGTTCGGTTCCATAACGGTTCTTGATTTTTTATATAGGAACCGAACCGATTTCATTAGTTAAAACTTTTATAACGGTTCCACTCATTTTGAGTAAGAACCGAACCGGTCCCAGCCCTAGTTGGAGCATCAAAATATATTTCCACAAATATATTGATATGTGAATATCTTTTTGTATAAGAAGAATTGACTTACAAAATTGGAGCATCATGAAAAGAACTAGAATAGACAATGAGATTTTGGATGCCATGACTAGATTACTCTATCTCCCACAATAGTTTCGCGTGAATACTTTGACATTACCGCGTCTTATTTATAACATAGCTTTTTTCCCGTACTAAGAACATAGCTTTTATATTAGGAGTTACTATAACATAGCATAAAAAGCTATGT